TCTGTTACACTTGTGACGATGAGGTTGTGTGTTTGTTGTTCATATTGCATTCCATCTCTCTCTCTCTTTCTCTCTCTCTCTCTCTCTCTCTCTCTCTCTCTCTCTCTCTCTCTCTCTCTCTCTCTCTCTCTGTTACACTTGTGACAATGAGGTTGGGAACTGGGAGCCATATACGAAGACGTTATAGGCATATTCTTGCGTAAGTGACACCCACTTCTTAACCCTGTTAAAATGCGGGGTTCCTTGTGTGTTTGCTGTTTATATTGTTGCACATCTCTCTCTCTCTTTCTGTCTCTCTCTCTCTCTCTCTCTATCTATCTATCTATCAATTTATCTATCTATCTATCTATCTATCTATCTGTTACACTTGTGACAATGAGGTTGGGAAGTGGAAACCATATATGAAGACGTTGTAGGCATATTCTGGTGTAAGTGGTACCCACTTCCCAACCCTGTTAAAATGCGGGGTTCCTTGTGTGTTTGCTGTTCATAATGCTGCACATCTCTCTCTCTCTCTCTCTCTCTCTCTCTCTCTCTCTCTCTCTCTCTCTCTCTCTCTCAACCGTGTTACACTTGTGACGATGAGGTTGGGAAGTGGGAGTCATATACGAAGACGTTGTGGCCGTATTCTGTCGTAAGTGGCACCCATTTCCCAACCGTGTTCAAATCCGGGGTTCGTTGTGTGTTTGCTGTTCATATTGCATTCCATCTCTCTCTGTCTCTCTCTCTCTCTCTCTCTCTCATGAAAGAGTGTCGGTCGTCACATGTTCTCACAAATATCCATCATGTCTGTTGTTATAGATGGACGTTTCAAATGTGTCGACAACTGTGGTGGGTGAGAGTTTTGCATGTACGACCGAAGACCTGCAGCAACAGATATTGAACATCATGTTTGGAGAAGGCGCTAACAAGTTGTGCGATCTGAATCCAGGGAGAGGCGTGACGGGAAACGATACGAGCTAGGGACGCATGTTGGAATTAGAAACTGAGGAATTGTTGGGTGCCATTTGCGAGCATGCAAATGTAGACGTGGAAAAAGGGGAGGCGACAGGCACCACAAACACTTCAAAGTGCACAGTTCCCTGGGACTGTGTCACGAAGACAACATCTGGAAACGAATTTGAGTACGATATCAATTGGGAACCTAACAAGGTGCAACCAGGGTTGATCGGTGCTCAACACTACATCGCGTTTAAGAGTGGTGACACATGGGTTCCGTATCGTCCGCCAAAATTGGAGACATGGCGTTATATCACGACAACCATTATTTTCGACCGAGTGAAAAGGATAAACGGCGGGGTGGCGGTTGAGGATTTGGTCAAATACACAAATGTCCTTACTAAGAGATTGACAGACAAGGGGGAGATACGACTTAATGATTTTTTTTATGATCGTTATGAATCGACCGAGCAATGGGTGGTTTCTGAGGACGAAAGAGGCGGGGATGATGATTGTGAGGATAATGATGCAAGACGGGATGCACGGTGGGGTTGGGTGTCGTCAACCATTCCTTGTGACTATGGGGAGATTAGGATCTTAGTCCGCGATCTCATGGGGAACTGTTAGAGTACAGTTTACATAAACGGTGAGTTCATCTCTCGTTGTTTGGACAGGGATCTGTTGGAGTTCGAGAAAGTGTTTATGTGCATCGATGATGCAGCGGGAACGCAATTCACGATCCCGCTTGAAAACCCGGTGTTGTCATCAATTATAGAGGGGAAAGTTTTTTCTGGGGAGGATAACATTTGTCTGCGACATGTAAGAGGCAAGGAGGTCACTTATGATGGTCTGTTCATTAGCATATGGGACCCGGATATGACAACGCCGGAGAGGATGCGTGACATTGACGTATCCGAGACTGTCATTCCACAGAGTGAGTTCAACAAACATTCATTGACTGAGATGTACGGTTATCATGTGAATTGGGTACCCGGTATCTTTCATCCTGCCATCTTCGAAAACAAAGTTACGATGGCAGGCAGACTGCATTCAGGCGAATGGCTACCTATGGGTTGGATGCCTTCAGGTGTTGTTGAGCATTGGCAATTCATGGTTGTTCTGGCTCGTGTGTCGTTGTGCAATTCTAGAGTGAACGACAAATCATTGTTACGCAAGCATGCAAAGATGTGTTGGAATAAAATAAAGGTGGAGGACCGTCAGATGGTATTGGTTGGATATGACGGGCGTGAAGATGAGAATATGTGGTCAATGCAGGGCGATGGTGTGGGCACAGCATCTTTGAATGATACACCTCATAATTGTCTGAGGCTCATTCGTCGCAGACACGGACGAGCAGCACTACTTGGATGGGTACACAGGCGTTATGCATGTGGGGCCGACGTGTCCATGGTTTTCAGAGACCCTCTCGCCGTTCCGTTTTTTTGTGATGTACTCACATGGTTTGCTGCATCACATTCAGTACATGCCGGTGGAGGACATGGCAGGCAGGGATGATAACAGGGGCATTTCAGAACCTCGTATTGCACACACAATACAACCG